AAGGAGCCCTGGTGGTGCAGTAGTTAAAGCACTCAGCTGCCAACCAAAAGGTTGGCAGTTGAACTCACCAGGCACTCAGCAGGAGAAAGATGTGGCAATCTGCTTCCATAAAGATTACAGCCTTGGAAACCCTATGGGGTAGTTCTACTCTGTCCTATAGGGTTGCCATGAGTCGGAATAAACTCCACGGCAGTGAGTTTTGGTTTGGGGTCTGGTGAAAACTGTTAGGCCAGGAAACCACGTGGACTTCTAGAAAGCTTTTATGCTTTGAAAGAAGCTGTCCTGATTTGCCATTGTTAATGAAACTTGTACCACACAATGCTCCAGTTTAAGACCCACTGAGAAGATGACCATGCACTTCCTTTCATCTCTGCATGGGGGAACCACATGGCAAATAGGAGCTGCAGAAACCCAGCAGCAGTGCTGTTCCTCCAGCAGTTAGTAATTGTTTTGAACTTTCTTATGTCGCATCCTGACAGCTCTGTATTAGGAGTGATGGTCTGTACTCTTTTCAGCCTTCATGCATAAATAAAAATGTCATGCCACCCAGAAGAACTTTTTGTAATCATATGTTTCCTCTGAATATACATCCTTAGGACTCTACCTGCTTACATTTCAATATTCTGTTCTTATATGAGGCTTAGCTTAGAAATTGTGAACTAGGCACTTATTGCAATGGATATATTTTTTACTCTGTCAAATGCTTGTTTGCATCAGACCTCCGACTAATACATTTGCTGAGGCTATCTGAGAAATTAATGCAATTATCCTGAATATCAAGATGTATCCTGTTGGTGCAAATAATGCCAAAGGTGTAGATATATCTTTAGCTCAACAATTGAAACAGAAAATAGGAGTAAAAAAACAGAGTAATTAAAGAGGCTCAGGCTGACCTAATGAGTGATTTTAATGGCAAACTCTAACACAGGATTAGCCAGACTTTTTCATTGCCTGCTTGTATCAGTAAAACATTTTGGGAATGCCTTCCCTCAAATCGTTATATTTATCTGTAAATTATATGTGTGTACCATTGTGCTTACGTATTATTTGTGTATGAAGGATACAAAAAATAAAACTAATAAAGTATGAAATAAGAAATATGAGCACAATTTCTAATATCATCTTTCTATACCTAAAATAATTCTCCTTTACATCCTCTGGTGTACATATACTCTGTTTTAGAAAACTGTTGTGAAACGTGCACAGCATCAATGTTTTCAAACTTTAGGAAGCATCAAAATAGCCTGGAGGCTTGTGAAAACACTGATTTCTGGGCTCCACTCCCAGAGTTTCTGACTCAGTAACTCTGGGATGGGGCCTAAGAACTTTAATCTCTAACAAATTCCCAGGTGCTCTTGGTCTGGGGACTATACTTTGAGAATTACTGGTGTAATGGTTTACAGCGTGGGCCTCAGAGTAGTCCATTTGAGTTTAACACCAAGATAATTTCACCACCAGTGTGTGACTTTGGGTAAAT